GTTAACTCAGAAAGATCAATTGGAGAAAAAGAGTCTAAATTAATATTGTCATGGCTGTGTGCAGGCAAGGAGCGGACCCAAAGTGCAGGACTCACAAATGCAGGAACAAAAGGGTGAACTTTAAGCAGCTTTATTGCTGTGCAAAAAGTGAACTGAACTGGAAATATAAAACTAAACGAGCAAGCAGGCAGATAGGCAAACTGAACGCAAAGGGGAGGTATGAGGGTACGACACTGACACAAAGATACACTGGGCTTAAATACACTGAGAAAGTCATCAAGGAATCAGAACACAGGGGAACACAGCTGGGAGGAATGAGACCTAATGAAACAGGGGAGCAAAGCTAGAAATACTGACATCAGACATGAACATGAACCTTCAAAGTAAAACAGGAAACAAGACACACTTAACTAAGACATGGACTAGACAGAGTGAGACAGACTAGACACTGAACTAAACCTGCAATAATAACACAATACAGGTGAACATTAACCATAATACAGAAATATACCAGAATAACTGAAACATAGATTTATCATAATAATCAACAAAGCACCAGAGAAAAAGAAAACAATCCATCACTCAAAAATAATCCAAAACATAAGAAACTCAAAATGCTGGGTCAAAAATGACCCAGAACCGTGACAAATATCAATGGTACTAAAAGTACCTGTAGATAATATTACATCTGTGAGATGATTATTGGTAATGTTTTCTCAAATGATAAAAATTTTCTTTATGAAGAAGTTCATGAAGTCATTACTAGTTAATGTTAAAGGAATGGTTGGCTCAATAGAGCTCTGACTGTTTATGGATTCACTCTTATTCCTGCTCCTGCTCCTAATGAAGAATGTCTGACTTCATTTCCTCATGAATCACAGAACTGATTGTTTGATATTTAGTTTTTACGCTGTAACCACAAAGTGTTTGTGTCCATATGCTGCAACCTTCCACACCTTTCCTTTATTGTACCGACTCAGCACAGAGCAGCTCTATGGATCCCAAATTCAAGACTGGAGAACAGATTTGAATTGTTACATCCATGTAGTCACACCTGTTTCCACCATGTTTACACTGATATTAATCCTATTCAGTGACACATTTCATATCAGTGAATATGTTCTTTAGAACATCCACTGAAATGTCCGGCTGGAAATCACTCAAATCATCCATTATTCCTCCTTTATCTGCAGATTAAAGCCAAACAAAGATTCTCATTAAAAGTCTGCAGGTCTGAGAGAGACTGAATCATTGTATCATGTCAAACACAGTAAGAGGAGCTGAAGAATAGATGTGAAGAGCAGATTATGATGTCACTCTGTTTTGTCTTCATATACTTTCAGTCTGTGTTATTAATGCAGATGTTCTGCCTTTATAATAATACATTTTCAATTCAATTCAATTTTATTTATATAGCGCCAAATCACAACAAATGTCGCCTCAAGGCGCTTCATAGATACAGAGAAAAGCCCAACAATCATA